CACATTGTAAATGTTAAACATACTTACTTTTCGTTGGCATTACAAATTATATCTTACATTATCTTTAGCAAAAAGCCCTAAAATAACCCATTCGAATGGGTAGTAGGAAAAAAATATGTATACATAATACTTTAAGGGTATTTTGTTGTTCTATGGAATATTCTGAAGTCCACTAGTATCTATAACAAGAATTCCAAGATCCAACCACAGGTCGTGACCAAATAAACAAATGCGGAAAATATGAACCTTGCATCAGATGGCTGTATCAAATTGAATGCAAGTAACTTATTAAATCAAACTTGGTGACAAGTTTTTGAAGAGGTTTGTGTGTGAGAATGGTTTTTTATAAAAATAGATGGTGAACAAAACATGTGACATAAATGAATCGTTTTCCTTGTAGAGATATAAAACAACAAGTTAGTTTATGAAATTTTATGTTGTATATTTCGTGTACATTTATACTTACCTACCTACCTACTTTTGGATATTGCCTAAGGTAATTTTACTAAATAAACTGGATAGTATCTCAGCTGGACAATCGTCCTCAATTTAAGCTACCCACCTTTATTAGGTGGACCGCAAAACCAGTTTTACACTATGTAGGTATTATATAAAACATAGATACTCGCGAGATGAACCAAGTTAAGTACTTTATAAGTTATTTTTGCAATATTTATTATATGATTTTTTTTATCTTATTTTCCATTTTAAATAAAAATAGTAGGTGAGTATTTAAAATACTAACGTCCGTTTTTTATCTATACTAATATTATAAAGAGGTAAGATTTGATTCTTTGCTCGTTTGTATTGAATAGGCTCCGAAACTACTGGACCGATTTGAAAAATTCTTTCACATTTAGAATCTTACTAGCAAAACAGTGAACCAAATGTTCACCAAAAAAAATGTATTTAATTAATTGAGAACTTCGGAGATTTTGTGTGGTTTCGTCTGAAATAGAAACACGTGATTTCTCGAAAACCGGTAGATTTAACTTAAACATTCTCTATATCTATCTCTTACGGTTTGGCCGCTGAAACAGCACCACGGACGGACGGACTTGTCTAATAGATAAGAGATATTATCCCTGATGAACATAGGCTATAGCGTATTTGCAAAAAAGTTGGGATTCCGTATGAAAACTTAGATGATGTAACCCAACGTGTAAAAAGAATACCAAAAAAATACCTTTTATCGCGTACGCCGCGGAAGTCATAGAGACTAAAATTTTATAGAGGACATCAACACCTAAAAAACAAGTTCACGATACTAATCAAAATCAGACCAGTATTTTCTGAGTTTAGCGCGTTCAACCAAAAAAAAAAACAACAATATCTCCAGTTTTATGATATTAGTAATTATATCTAATTTTCAAGGAAGGATTATAATTATATGAAGAAAGTCATAATACAAGCCTGAGAACAAAAACTACAGACTACACTACAGCTCTACACCTAAGTGAAGCAAGGGCGGCCCACTAGGTACGAAAATTATAATTTAGGAATTTCCCCTTTTCTTTATAGCAACATTATATAAGCAGCTTTATATTATTTTAGCATTTTCATACATTATCATTATCTATCGTTATTTCTGAGATATAGATATACCTAAATGCCTATAGCCAGATAGCTGTGAAAAGAAGTTCAATTGATTAGCACCTTACATTAAAACAAAATGGGAAGATACGGCACTCGCAGCTCAAAAGTGATCCGCTTAAATTGTGGTGCATGAGACCTCAACTCGCTTTAGTCACAATTGGACTTTCAAACACGCTGCACGTATATTCTGTGTTATAAAGATAAAACAATGCCTTCGATGCTTTTATAAAGAACACAAATAGTTCAAGATTAAATAACAAATATCACGGCAACACTTTTTATTTGAAAAACTATGAAAAAAAAATCACAAAAATCATGGTTGGTCATGAATGTTATTTACTTTTTCCGTTTGTAGAGAGAGAAAAGAAAACGCTAAAGCCACGCGACACGGACTCGCTATTTCGCTCGCGCTGCGTTGAAGCGTACAGTTCTGTCTCGCTCGCTCTATTGAATGTTTATTTAGAAATGTGCGTGCGTGAGAGTTGCTTATGTAGTTGTGGAGCATATTTTATTTGATGCTAGTATGAGCGTACCGTATCTTTTACTTTTTGTTTAAATCTAAGATTAGCAACTATAAATACCTAGTCCTGCCATAAGTTCTGTTACAAATGAAAATGTATTATTTTTATTGAAGTAATGTAATATTATTAAAATTTATACCTACATATTTATTAGTCTTGGGAAAATTTAAAAAAATATTCTATTCGAAATGGCCACCTTTGACTTTTACAGGCCTTTAATTTGTTTGGCCACGAATTTATGGATTTACGCACTGTTTCCAAGGGAAATTTCGCCACTGCTTGCTTCAAAGATTTTTCAAGAGACTCAATGTCGGCGTGTCATTTAGAGCAGGCCTTGTCCTCTAAAACTGACCATAATTTGAAGTCTAAAGGGTTGAGGTCTGGGTTAAATGAGGGCCGTTCTTCAGCTCTTATAAAGCTGCCACCTGGACGTCCTAATTAGAGACTTAGTACTATGTTTCGTCCAATATATTGAAAGTCAACAAACTTTCCAATTTTATTGTTTTCGTCTTACGAATTTTCGATTAGGTCATGTGTCCTGACGCGATCAGGCCACGTGTCCTGACGTGAGTTTAACAGTTTATACCCATTACAAAAAAATATACAACGCCGCTAAAGAAGCTTTCACTTCAAAAATATTTAAATGTTAACTCAGTTTAATACTTAAGTACCTACCCTTTTATTCTGATCTATATCAAGGGCAGTAATATTTCTTTTCAGTTCTAGATAAAGTATATGTATTTTGAAAAAAAATCTCCATAAAATCTTTATAATGTAGATACTTGCTATAGGTTCCTAAGTGTCGTTTTGGTAAAGTTTTTTTTATTAAATAATCACTGACTGACAAAAGCACTTCTGAAAATTACCACTAACGACAAAACTTCACCATTTAGTTTATTTTTTGTAGCATTACAGAGGGATTCTAGCGATACCTCCTAACATGCAAATCTCTTCAAGCATTTAGGTAAAAAAAACGAACGGACATACAAACATTGAAGTTAATAGAAAACTATAGTAACCTAGCTACGTCTTTTTTAAACCGTTGCATAAAACAAATTGCATGACACTCTCAAGCTTGCTAAAATTCGAATTGCGTTTTTCACGTAAGTATTCAACCTCCAAATGTTGCCTACACCCCTTCCTTTATGAAGTCACACTGTCACATGATTATATCTCGAATGACCTTGCAATCTCTGTAATTGCGGTCACCAGGTCGCCTAACTAACTAGAACTAGTAATATTAGTAGGTACCTATTTTGGAACTTAAACAATTTTTCCGCGTAATAAAATGACCATTCTATTTGTACAGCGACCGCATTCTGTGAGAACAAACTCACTTTTCACATTTTCTTTGTTGAAATTTTGTGGTTTTGAAATTTATTTGAAATTCGAGTTCTAAATTTTAAATCACCGCGGATGAGGTGGAAAGGAGTTTGTTCTTAAAGAAGAGCACTGCAGTTATCCATATAAGAATCCATAATAATATTATAAGCTTATTTTTATTTCCTGGTGGAAATACAAGAAAAATAAGCTTTTGTAAATCGTAGGTATTTAAATACAGAGAATTATATATAAATATATGAGTTTTCTCAAAAAATGCATTATTTATTCGATATTTCTCGTTGAAACTTTTAATTTTGGTACTCTGTTGGTATTGGGTCTAGTGATAGCTTAGAAAATGTGTGAAATCTAGTTAAAAAAAAATAACAAAAAAATAAAAAAATTTTTTTTTTTTTTTTAACTAGATTTCACACATTTTTTTTCATAATATACTTATTTACAGATTTATTAATGAAAAACCGTTTGAAAACGTGGTTTTTCTAGTAGAAAATTGACGTTGTCACTTTCCAATAACTCGAAAAGTACTTATTGACTACTAGTTAAAACTTTATAGTACAAAGTTGCTTAGAAATGCCGCGTTGTATCAGCTAGCTAATCTAGCTATCCACCCATACTTATGTTCAATAAAGTATTTTTCATTTTCGAGAAGAGGTGGCGTCCACCCTCAGGGTAAAAGCAACCCTCGGCTCATTGACAACTTCATTGTAGAGGGTAAGTAGAGCCTCTAGACAAATTTTGATGCTAATCGGTGCTGTTTGGTAGATTTGCTAGGGAACCCGTGCATTGATTTGACTAATTACCTACCTCTTTATATTTTGAAACAGTAGTTGAAAACCATAACAACAAAGAAATAATAATAAAAAAAAACAGTTTACATTTTCACAATTAATTGGTATAAAACGTTAAAAAGTTTCTTATTACAAAAACTCTACATAGCTTTTTACACTTACCTTTGTTACTGTAGAGCTAACTTTTTTAATCACAATGTTTTTACAAAACTCTAGTGTAACATTGTTTATTTATTTTTAGTTAAACAAAGCTCTCTTTGGCCGGTTTAAACAATAATTTCTTATTTTTTTGCAAGTTTAAGTTTTAATAAACTAACTAACTAATAATTACTTAGTTAAGTACCTAACTCTAACATAGATAATTCTGAGCATTCTACATTCGTTTATTCATTATGTATACAGTTCCGAGGTGCAAATAAAAACACAAATATACACCACATCTTAACTAATACACAGTTTTTTATAAAACTACCTCGACATCAAACAAAACTCTATTATTTTCTTTTTATACCTTTCACAAAATTATCTTTATGTCATTACTGCTTACAATGTAAATATAACGTGAATTTACAACATTAATTCACGAATTTAACATCTACAAGATATATCCAAATTATCAAAATCAAATACCGTGCTTAGGGCAACAATAATATTATTGCGGAAAAGCTGAGTGTAACTGTATAGCACATGAGACAGAAAACAGTGTTTAAGTAAACACCGAAAAGGCGGGAAAAGTTAATTAATTTAAACTTACCCAGTATTAAGGAAAACTCCAGTTGGCGAAATAAAAATTCCAGAACCGATAATAGTTCCGATAATGATGCCCACACCATTGAACAGTGTTATTTTACGTTTTAGTACCACTTTTCCGTCGCCTGCCTGAGATTCTTCGCCCATCACGCAAAAAAATCAATCGCGCACCGGTAAATGAACGCACGTGGTTTACGCAGAATTTCGATCGTGACGCGAAAAATATATATAAAGGTACCGGCAACAGGTCAGACTCACGCGGGATCTCTTACACGAGTGTGTCATTTTCTGTTACCATTTTGCCGATATAAAATACGACACGGATTGGATGGAACAGGTTAGTTTGTAAACGTCAGTGCGAAGCAGAGCACACGGCCGCACGATCTGTCGCTACAGCGCATGTGAACTCCGACTACTCCGAGGATAAGTGTTGTATGATACGAACCCTTGTTATACGGTTTTGTAAACCTTATCCGGTCGCAATAAAGGTTATTCGACTTTACTGAGCGATACAGAATGGCTGACAGTACCCGAAGTCGGACGATGGCGGCTACGAAATAAATCGTTTCGCTAGAATTTGTTGCAGATAAAGTTAAAAAGATACAAAGTAGTAAGGTAGCTTTTTTCTTCTTAAATATTTCAACTCGAATAAAGCTGCGAAGAGATTATCATACAAATAAAAAATCCCATCCTACTTCTTTGACGCTGCGTGTGGAATTTACCTTTGGATCCCATGACGGTAAAATAAAGCGCATTGCATCAGCTTCACAGAAACCATCATTCAGATTATTATTTTTATAGCTACGTGAGCTCTTTCTATAAAGTTGATAAATATAGTGTTACATATTATAGAATAATTTCATGCGCTAAATCTCTTCAAGATTTCACAAAATTCAAGATAATTAATTCTATCTACTTGAGACCATAATTATTGAGACTAAAAAATCAGAATAGAAAGAAACAAAGAAAGAAAGAGAAAGAATACGATGAAACCCATTTCAAGGGGAATAAAATTGAGGTGTAAAATAAAATTGAAGAAATTGTAAAATTGAAGATAAATAATTTACGGTCAGTGACCTTAAGGATGGAAAACAGTTTACCGAAATTTCAGAATAACTACTTCTTAAAAAAAATGGCAACGTTATAGGTAATTAAAATATCTACAACTTTTGTATTAACACTTTTTTCACAAAACCTAAAGATATCTACGAAAAAGCAAAACTACGAACTATCATTTATTTTTATATCCCACAATAAAAACAAATATCTTTCACATTTGATAAAGGTGAAGACGCTGGATTTATAAATTTAAATAAATTTTTTACAAGAAAAAAATCCACTCGGTCCAAGGCACAGTACACAACATCACACAGGATTCGAATCCGCATCAACCTCTATCCGGGCGGAGGAAGAAACTTAACTTTTTATATCCTACACACCCTTTTAATTTTTTTGATTTACCTACTCCTTATTTTGATATCGAAAAAGTTACCTTATATTCGATCGAAAAATCTCACGTCATAAACCGGCCGAGTGTGAGTTGGACTCGCGCACGAAGGGTTCCGTACACAAAGGGTTCCGTAACCGTGAAAAAATAAATATTTTGTTTGTTTTCGTCACAACGTACTTTATAGTACATTGCGAATCGACGTTTTCAGTATTTGTTGTTTAAATACAGCATAAGGGACATCATATACCAAAATTTCAACAACAAAACAAACAAATTTTGTAACAAAAATGGTCTAAAATTGACAAATTTGACAGCCTCCCTTTTCTTTGTTAATGAAAATAAAAAATATACTTATTTATATTTGTTTCTTAGGTTTTCACGCACATCACTCATTAAATAAAACTAGTTTTTACGGGTTAATGCACGAAACTTTATTTATTTATTGACGTTTCGCAGCCTTTTCAGGTCTGCATCGTCAGAATAATGATTTTTTATTTAAAATTGTCGAGCTACCTTCGAAAGACTTATATTGAGCGTTTGGTTATTTCATTGGAAGATTTTTAAAATTTTATTGTCTATGTATGAATTTATTATTTAATTTACTTAATAAAGTATTTTATTTAATTTACTTAATAAAGTATTTTATTTAAAATACTTGTTTGTAATTTTGAGTTTATTTATTTGACCCTAACTACCGTAAACTACCACCAGTTCCAAAATTGGGAGACCTTCCTGAGAAGAACCGGCAAAACAAACTCAAGAGTGGCTTTCTATCTCCTTCTTATGTTAAATTATGCAAACAAAAAGAACTAATAGTATCTGATGGTCTTGCAGTGTGTGCTCGGGGTTGGGATTTTATCTCCTGTATAATAGGTTCCCAAGCTGGTGGTATATACAAACCATCTTCCCTATTGAAATTTGTATATTTTTTAATCTCAATAGCCTCGCGCATCATCCGAGGAACGAACCGCCGCTCAGCTGCAAGGATCTGTGGTCTATCAAATGTAATGTAGTGGTTTGGTCCCCCTAATGCATGTTCACACACTGCAGATTTATTTTCGCGCCTATGTTTCATATCTGCGATATGTTCTTTTACCCGAGTCCCTATACTCCTCTTTGTTTGCCCGATGTAGGAGAGCCCACAGTCGCATTCAAGTTTGTAGACACCAGCAACTTGAAAGGGTATATTGCACTTGACCGGTCGTAGAAACTGGTTGATCTTCTTTGGCGGCTTGAAGTATGTATTGATTGAAGCACGCTTCACAATCCTCCCAATCTTGTCAGTGACTCCTTTCATGTAAGGTAGTATAGCAGGTTGTCGGTCGACTGTGCTAGGTTTGACGCGACTGTGACGGCGGCGTGGTACATTCAGGTTATTATCCTTCAGTACTTGCTCGACATGCTGAAGTTATGTTACTGGAGCATTGCCTTACTTCTGGCTACCTGTTATGGGGGGATGACTTCTATGTACAAATGGAGAGTGTTGCAATGGGTTCCCCTGTCTCACCTGTTGTCGCCGATATTTTCATGGAAGATTTCGAGGAGAGGGCTCTCAGCGCAGCACCTGTCACACCCAGGCTATATAAGCGGTACGTAGATGATACTTTCACAATCCTCCCAACAGATCAAATTTCTGCCTTTTTAAATCACCTTAACTCTATACACCCCAACATCCTATTCACTATGGAGTTAGAGGAAGATAGTAAACTAGCTTTTCTAGATATTTTATTAATCAGGAATCCTGACCAAAGTTTAAGCCATACTGTGTATCGTAAAGTGACTCATACTGATAGGTACCTCAATGCTGACTCACACCATCACCCGAAACAATTAACTGCCGTAGGAAACTCTTTGTTTCAGAGAGCACGGGGTGTCTGTGACGAACAACACCTGGCAGCTGAACTTCAGCATGTCGAGCAAGTACTGAAGGATAATAACCTGTATGTACCACGCCGCCGTCACAGTCGCGTCAAACCTAGCACAGCCGACCGACAACCTGCTATACTACCTTACATGAAAGGAGTCACTGACAAGATTGGGAGGATTGTGAAGCGTGCTTCAATCAATACATACTTCAAGCCGCCAAAGAAGATCAACCAGTTTCTACGACCGGTCAAGTGCAATATACCCTTTCAAGTTGCTGGTGTCTACAAACTTGAATGCGACTGTGGGCTCTCCTACATCGGGCAAACAAAGAGGAGTATAGGGACTCGGGTAAAAGAACATATCGCAGATATGAAACATAGGCGCGAAAATAAATCTGCAGTGTGTGAACATGCATTAGGGGGACCAAACCACTACATTACATTTGATAGACCACAGATCCTTGCAGCTGAGCGGCGGTTCGTTCCTCGGATGATGCGCGAGGCTATTGAGATTAAAAAATATACAAATTTCAATAGGGAAGATGGTTTGTATATACCACCAGCTTGGGAACCTATTATACAGGAGATAAAATCCCAACCCCGAGCACACACTGCAAGACCATCAGATACTATTAGTTCTTTTTGTTTGCATAATTTAACATAAGAAGGAGATAGAAAGCCTCTCTTGAGTTTGTTTCGCCGGTTCTTCTCAGGAAGGTCTCCCAATTTTGGAACCGGTGGTAGTTTACGGTAGTTAGGGTCAAATAAATAAACTCAAAATTACAAACAAGAATTTTAAATAAAATACTTTATTAAGTAAATTAAATAATAAATTCATATATAGACAATAAAATTTTAAAAGTCTTCCAATGAAATAACCGAACACTCAATATAAGTCTTTCGAAGGTAGCTCGACAATTTTAAATAAAAAATCATTATTCTGACGATGCAGACCTGAAAAGGCTGCGAAAAGTCAATAAATAAATAAAGTTTCGTGCATTAACCCGTAAAAACTAGTTTTATTTAAATATATTTATATTCTCCTCGGCGAGCACTAGACAATGATGTATCACATGCTGGGGTGAAAAAGAAAAAAAAATCCTCTGTTTCATGGGACCCTCTGTAAAAATAATATAATTTTAATTAAATGTTTATCTAAATATTCGGCTTTGGGCAAGCACTTTACATAAAATACCAAAATTTCAGTTCTGTAACTTATTCCGTTTACGATTTAGAGACCCGTGACATATGGATAGACAGATAGATAGACGACAGAGTTACAGCAATAGGGTTACGTTTGGGTACGGATTCCTAAAAAAGTACGCAGTTTCTTTTTTTATTTGGTGCGCTTGCATTCGTTGGAACCTCTATTTTATGATAATATAGTACCGATACATTAAAACATACAATACTATGGAAAATTTCCCAGAAAATGCAAATGCGTCGTCCCGGTTCTCGATAATCGATAGGTATTACAAATAATTAACAAACAGATGAGTGAATACGACGACGACCGACGTATTGTTTTTGCATTTTCTGAGATTTTTTTCCATAATAATTTAGGTACTCTTTTTTGTATACCACCAGAAAGTAAAGTTGCCAACAAACAAAATGCGTACCAATTATTTTTTAAAGTTAGTTTTTTGATGTGATATTTTTTTAATTAAAATCAAGGAATGTTTTTCGATATAATATCAAAATAAGAGGAAAAAATAAACATTTTGAATGGAAAAAATAGAGCTATATTTGGGTATATAAGAAGGCACGTTTTCACAAAATTTCGTGAAACGAAAAGTTTTTACGTGAAAGATTAAAATAAAAAACCAAAAAGT